CGGCGGCCTGGGCAACAGCATCCCGCGGGCTTTAGTCAGCATTTGGAGATCAGCGTGGGGAGTTCCCCACGGGAAGAGACTAGGACAAAAAGGGCCGAGAAGCTGTGAAAGGGCGCGATGCAAAGCCATTGATAGAAAAGTCCCCAGGTTATGGCAGACGCAGGGCAGGCTTGCAGATGTCTCTCCCCAGTAGCACGCTGGCAGCCCCGCGGTGAAGCTCACCTGGGGCTGAGCTCGGGGGGTCCGCTTCCCACCCCCAGCACCGAGCCGCTCGCATGCCCAGCCTTGAGCACAGCGGGAGATGGGTTTGCTTTGCAGGGGGTGAATAACACAGCCAGGGTGCTGAGGGAGGTTGGTTATGCCCCAAAAAATTAAAAGATGCATTCAAGGTGATGAGAAGAGTCAGTAGCAGAGGTGGGAAATGTGCTGCTCTCTGGCACCCAGCCAGCCAGTTATTCGTGGGAGCGCTTGTCACTGATTAATGAATAAAACCACGCCACAACCCATTGCCGGAGCTGCAGCATTAATTCATGGATGTGCTAAATGGGAATAGTGAACTGTTTTCCGCACTGAGTGCTGGGAAACAGCCGCTGCCCCCGCTGCGGTCGCTGGCTGTGCTCTGCCTGCCAGCCCTGCCTGTAAGCCGACCCCGAGCTCTCCCTCTTCCCTCCATATACAGATATTGCTATTTTTAGCAGTCCCTCCCAGAACCGGGATGTATCACTGCCTTTTCTTAGCACAGATACAGCAGCCTCCTCTCTTCCGAGGACACAGAGCACTTCACAAAAGACCCGCTAGCTGCAGGGGTGTGCAGAAATGCAGGGGGGGGGTGTGCTCCCCGGGAGAGCAGAGGCAGATGCCCACCACCGGTCATTTAAGGTTTTAAAAACAGGAGCTGGGCTTTTTGGCCTCAGTGTTATGGCGCAATTCCAGTGTAGGTGGCACCGGGGTCAGTGCGAGCTCTGCGGTGGGGAAAGCGGTTGCTGCAGAGGCACCCAGTGAAGCAGTGAAGGGTGCTGGGGTGGGGGTCCTGCCCCTGCTTTCTGTGTGGGCCGTCATTACCGGCTGCTGCTGCACAGCTCTGATTAGCGCATGACAGCATGGCAGTCGTGGCACTTGCTTTTGTCCTTTGGTCATTTCTACTTAGCCGCTTTAATTAGCTGTTTCCCTGTGCCAGGAGCGGGTCACCGATACCTCTGGGTGCATTTGCATCCTCCCGGGATGGTTTTGCCCGTGTGAGATACCTGCAGTGCAGATGTTTGGGGCAGGGCAGGGTTTATGCACAAGAGCCGAGTAATAACTGAAAAGCCACGCGGGGAGCGACGCTCCTGCCTTCGCTTCCTATTCCTGCTATGCAAAAAACCCCCACCCAACCCAAAGATGTGCAATATTTGCAAAATGCTGCAAACAAACAAAGAAAAATCAGCCAGTGAAGAGACAGGACAAAGTTTCCAGCATGGGTGCAGGTTTCTAGGAGGGCCAGTCACCGCCCGGCCCCGGGACATGGTTGCTCGACCCCTTCCCACCCCGCAGCTCAGGGCGCTGCTCCCCGTGCTCTGTCCTGGCACTCTGGCACACGAGGGAACCACAGACACTCGGTGTCTCTGTTGACTAGTCATCGTGTTCCAGAAATTGTACATTTTTAAAGTAAATTCACTCATGCAAAACTGGTGTTCGCCTTGGTTCAATTATGTGTTAGCAGTCGCGCTCCGGGATAAATGGAAGTATTGCTGCTGTGCCTGCTGCTGCGCGTGGCCGGGGCAGGAGAGCGTGGGCAGGCTTGTGCTGTGGGGGAGCGATGGCAGAGGTGGGGCATGGCCCCCTCGGCCGGGGCACGGGGACTGAGGGCAAGCAAAGCTCTCCTTCCCCGGGGTGAAGCAGCGATGGTGCAGCCGGCAGCGATGGGGCCCTGCCGCACCGCTCCATGCTGGTGCTGCACCCCGAGCTGGGCTGCACCCCTTGAGCTGCTGCCTCGGCCAAGCCCCGGCTGTACCTGCTGCCCGTCGCTGCCCTGGGAGGAGAGGAGCCTCCAGAGAGGCGTCCAGGGGCTGATTTCCCACCAGAGGACATGAACACGAAGGGCTGCTGCCATCTCCTGGGGGCTCTCCTGCTTGACCAACCTGATCTCCT